TAACATCATTAACATGTTTATCATTTCTCATTTTATCATCATTAATTTCTTTTTATACCATATCGGCATATAATATAAACTATAAATCACACTCATGCATAAATGATTTCCAATCTCATACAACAAATACATTTCACTTAGGAATACACACAATATCACATATAAATCTTATAATTACTTTTGATATCTTTTATAGGCCCAGTACATTATTGAGAACTCAAGGTATTCGAGTACATTGAGGTTGTGCACTATTACTGTCACCACAGCTCGTATAAGTCCCACTGAGTGGTATATGAAATTTGTCCCGAACGACCTATGTAACTGTCCATATGTTCTGAAGAACATAGGTAAACTGTCCATATGTTTCATAGAACATAGGTAACCCTCGACTCTTGGCATGCCAACTATACCACTAGCTCTCATATCATATAACATGGGCATTATCATTTATACATTTCATATCACTTGTTCTTTCTCTTCTGTCACATACCACATGTATTTGTAACCATATATCTCATATCATATCACCTGTATCACAAGTACATGTATTCACGTAGTTTACTTTCATGTAATTCATGTCACTTTTCATATGATTTCATATTCGTATGTCATATAGCTCGTATCACTTTGCATAGTTTCACATAAACATATATATCATATCTTGTTCACATATATTTCCCATATAACTCATATCATTTGATTCATGTCTTATTCTTATATCATCATATATATATCATCTATGTCCATTCACTTAATCTCATATCACTTATCTCACGTCAAACGTAACTCATATATAATGATGCGTATAACATGTAATCATGTAGTTCTTATCACATAAGAATCACAAATCAATTAACATTTTAGGAGTCACTTCTTACCATAGTAACTCCATCACTGGCTCATCACGTCAATTCTTTGATTGTTTCAGAACTTGTTTAGGCTCAATATCTATATAAACATAATTTTCAAAACAATGATCAAAAGCCTAAACCTTAAACTTGATGTTAATAATTTAACCTAGTTTAATGAACCAAAATTCCATTTTTTCTTTAGGGGGAATCGATACCCCCCCATAGGGTATCTGGACCCTCTGCAAAATCTGTAAATTTTGCCCAGAAATCACTGTTCAAATACGAAAATTATCAACTCTTTACTCAATTCTTCTATTTTAAGTTTCTATCTTGCCATTAAACTCAAATACCTTTACCATCATCAACTTATATCCATATAAACCATCTTTATCTTCTATATCTCATCATGATTCTTAAAATTAAGAATCATACCAAATTTTCCATGTAATCCAAACTCAATTCTAACACTTATATCTTCTTATTCTCATAGATGACAAGTCAAATTCAACCTCCTAATTCATTTAAACCTTCTTATTCAAAATTTCACTTAAAAACCCATTTTCTTTAATGTGTCATAATTCCTTTATCTTTTGATTTTAAGATAACTTAAGCTTAGTTATCATATAATGGTCAAAACCCAACCTTTAATTCAACAAATAATCAACAAAATAGGAAACTCACCTTTGCCTAGCTTCTACGGGGAGGAGGAAGAAGAAAGGAATAAGAAGAAGATGAAATGTTTTCATCTTACTCTCCCCCACGTTTTTATCTCCTATTAAAGGGGAGAAAATATATTTCCTTGTTAATTGACCATTTTACCCTTTAATTCCTTTGATAATTACTAATAACTTTCAGAAAATATCTCCACATAAATCATTGAACAATTTAACTATTCTACTTTTATCCCCAAATTCAAAAAATTTACAATTTAATCACTAACCCGTAATTTGGGATGTTACATGGTTTGATCGAATTAAGGAATTACAAAACAAAGATGAAAAGTGTTTGAAGAGACTGGAACAAGTAAAGAAATAAGGAATTACAGATTTTGAGATTAAGACTGATGGGAACCTGTATTATTGATGGAGAGCAGTGATTCTAGATGACAAAGAATTGAAGAATGATATGTTGATAGAAGCTTATTGTAGTCCATGGACGATGCACCCAGGGTGGAAACAAGATGTATATGGATCTCAAGAGTCGGTACTGTTGGCCAGGAATAAAAATAAGTATCACTGAATTTGTGTCTAAATATTTGACATGTCAACAAGTCAAAGTCGAGCATCAAGTTCCTTCATGATTATTGTATCCACTCTCCATTCCTCAATGGAAGTAGGAGAATTTGACGATGGATTTTGCTACGAGGTTACCTCAGACTCCGAATAAAAGAGATTCTATTTGGATAATAGTTGATCATTTGACCAAGTAAGCACATTTTCTTCCTGTCAGAACTGATTTCTCTATGGAAAAGTATGTTGAGTTGTACATTAGGGAAATTATTAGATTGCATGGATTGCCTTTTTCAATAGTTTCTGACCGAGATCCTCAATTCACCTCGAGATTTTGAAAATCTTTACATGGAGCATTGGGAACTCGATTGAACTTTAGTACAACTTTACACCCTCAGACGGATGGACAATCCGAGAGGACTATTCAAATATTGAAAGATTTATTGAGTGCATGTATAATTGAGTTCAAAGGGTCTTGGGAGAAGTATTTACCACTTGCGAAATTTGCTTACAACAATAGTTATCAGTCAAGCATTAAGATAAAACCCTATGAGGCTTTATATGGGAGAAAATATCGTAAGCCACTAAACTGGTATGAGCTTAAAGATCGAAGTGTTCTTGGTCCATATTTGATTCAAGATGTGGAAGAAAATTTTTGGGAAATTCAGCATAATCTCAAAGTGGCATTCGACCGACAGAAATCATATTTTCATCTTAAGAGGAAAGAAATTGAATTCGAAGTTGGAGATAAAGTTTTTCTGAAGGTCTCTCCCAGGAAGAAGGTATTAAGATTTGGACGGAAATGAAAGCTGAGTCCTAATTTTATTGGGCCATATGAGATTGTGAAGAGAGTATGACCAGTGGCATATCAACTAGCCTTGGCAACCGAAATGGAAAAGATTCATAATGTTTCCATGTTTCCATGCTTTGGAGGTATAGATCTGATCCTTCCCATATTGTTGCACCGGAAGAGATAGAAGTTCAAACTGATTTGACTTATGAGGAGGAACATATATGTGATCCTTCGGGATATATGTTTGGTCTTTCAGAACATATATGTGGTCCTATGGGACAATTCTATGTGGTCCTTCGGACATATATGTGGTCTTTTAAGACATTCTATGTGGCACTTCAGAGCATTTTATACGAGTTGTTGTGATAGTATTTGTATACAACCTCATTGCACTCACATATCTTTAGTTCTCTGTAATGTAAATGGGTTATTAAAATATTTAACATGAATTAATATTTCATGATGAATTATATTTTTATTGTTATATGCTTGATCATATATGTTCTTGTGATTGGAAATATGAATATCTTTGTAAAGTAATAAAAGTATGTATTTTGCATGTTCATTTTTATTATATATATACGCACTAAGTCAATGATTTAGCATGCGAGTGTTTAACACGTAGGATCAAAGAAGTTAGAAGGGCTCGAGTAGGGAGCTGGGACATCATAACTTCTTCAGATATCATATTAGAAACAACTTAACAGTATGTTCTTTTTGTTATATTAACCAATGTTGGCATGTATTTAAAGGTTCAAGTTGTATATGCTCTGATCATTTTGTAAACATTTTGTATTGAATTTCCGTAAATTAGTCAGTTTATTTAATATAAGTTTAAATATTCTACTATTTTGGATAAGTACATTGCTTTGAAAAGTTAATGTGACATCTCGGACTCGTATCCGGGTCGAGTACAGGTTGGGGTGTTACATTTAATGGTATCAGAGCTATGGTTTAACTGATTCTAACATAAACAGGGGTCAAAAGGGGTTTAAAAAGTTTTCATGCTAACAAAATAGTGAATACCTCTGATCTGATATAGTACTGAGTATGTTGTCTTGCTAATAGAGTTATATGATTAGCTTTTATTAGATGTCTGATCGCGAAAGTTCCCGAAGTGAAGAGGGAGATGATAGGCATGAGGGTAGTAGCAATTCACCTGCCCTGGCCAAGTAAGGTGAAGAGAAAGCACCTCAAAGAGTGCCTGTACAAGACCAAAATATGTTCTTCAGGACGTTGGACGTTATTCTGACACGTTTCTAACCTCCTGCTCCATTAACTCATAGAATAAATATAGCGAAAGAGTTGAAAAGAATGGGAGCTCCCGAATTTAAAGGTGAAGTCGATGAAGGTCATGTTGCGGTGGACCTCTGGCTTAATGATGTGAAGATCATGGTAAACAGTCTTCATTGCCCGGAAGTGGAGAAGTTAGATGGAGAAGTTTCTTTACTAAGAGGACAAGCTATAATATGGTATACGAATATCACCATGAAAATGACAAGTGACCAAGTGACATGGTCCTTATTTTTGGAAGAGTTCAAGTACAAGTATATTGGAGATCAATTTATAAGGCATATGAAGCAAGAGTTTATGAGCCAGAAGAAGTTTAATCGCACTGTCTATGAATACGAGTGCGAGTTTAATAAGTTAAGTCTCTTTGCTGTTGAGCTTATTCCAAAGGAAAAAAGATGCATGTGAATGGTTTGTGGAGGGCTTGCGCCCTAGACTAAAGGAGATATTAATTGTTTTGAATCTGTCTTCATTCCAAGATGTGGTTAACCATGTTAAAGCTCTAGAGAGAGCTCAAAATGAAAGATTTGTAGACAAAGAGCCAAGACGTCTAAAAGAACTGGGGCTTCATCGAGTTCAGCGTCACCTAAGAGGGGAAGAGATTATGGGTTCCCACCTCTAACAAGGTCTGAGTCAGTTGTATCATCTACTAGAAGATTAAGTCAGATTAGAACCTAACAGATGTAATCAGTAGGATCTGGTGTTGGGAGATCAAATCAGGGTTAATCCAGACAATGTCAACATTGTGGGAAAAATCATTCCGGATTGTGTCGAATAGTCTCTAGGGCCCGTTTTCGATGCAGGGACACTAGACATTTCTTTTTTGATTATCCGATGATGGTTGGTGAACATGTACAATCTAAACGATCTTCTTCGGCATCTCAAATAGAAAGAGGAAAAGGTGGAGGGAGAAATCAACCTGAGTCATCTACTCAACAGGAAGTGTGTTCAACTACACGAGTGTATAATATTAAGACAAATGAAGACCGAGATGATCCTGAGATTATAGCAGGTACTTTTCAGTTATATGATAAATGTGTGTTGGTATTGATTGATCCAGGTTCTACTTTTTCATATATTAGTAATAAGTTAGTAAATGAGTTGAGAATTCCATTAGAAGCTACAAGTAATGAGGTCATAGTAACTAATCATTTAGGGCATAGTGTACGGGTAAATAAAGTATGTAAAGGGTGTCTCATAAGGATTCGGGGAATTGAATTCCCTGTTAATCTGGTAGAATTACCCTTTGATGAGTTTCAAGTAATTTTAGGGATGGATTGGTAGTACCATTATCATACAAATATTGATTGTAGACTGAAAAGGGTAACCCTGATTAGTTTAGAAGGAATAAAAGTGAGTGTGATCAATGAAAGATTGAATTGGTTAGCAAATGTAATATCAGTGATGTTAGCAAAGAAGTTATTGTTACAAGGATTTCAGGGTTTCATCACTAATGTGATAGATACCAGACCCAAAGAGAAAGAGTTAGAAGAGATTCCCGTAGTCAGAGTTCCCTGATGTCTTTCCTATTGAGTTGCCATGATTACCTCTAAATAGGGAGGTTGAATTTCAAATTAAGGTAATGTCTGGAACAACGCCTACTGTAATGGCACCTTACCGAATGGGACCAAAAGAATTGAGTGAATTAAAGATTTAGTTGCAAGAATTATTGGACAAAGGACTTATCAGACCAAGTGTGTCACCTTGGGGAGCTCCGGTGTTGTTTGTTAAGAAAAAATATGGTTCAATGCATCTTTGCATTGATTATCGATAGCTCAATAAGGTAACTATGAAGAACAAGTATCCTCTCCCTAGAATTGATGACTTGTTTGGCAAGTTAAATGGAGCTTTAATATTCTTAAAGATCGATTTGTGTTCTGGTTATCATCAATTGAAGAATCAAGAGAAAGATATTCTAAAAACGGCTTTTAAAATGAGATATGGTCATTATGAGTTTATTATGATGTCGTTTGGGGTAACTAATGCACCTGCTGCTTTTATGGATTTGATGAATAGAATATTTCAACCTTATCTGGAACAGTTTGTAGTTGTTTTCATTGATAATATACTAGTGTACTTGAATTCTAATGAGGAGTATAGTACATATCTAAGAGTAGTTTTGCAAACACTACGTGATAAGAAACTATATGCCAAATTGTCTAAATGTGAGTTTTGGTTGAATGAAGTGACTTTTCTTGGGCATGATATTTCTATAGAAGGGATTCGGGTTGATCCTCAAAAGATAAAAGCCATTTTAGAATGGGTAATTCACAATAACGTGTCTGAAGTGCGAAGTTTTCTGGGGCTTGCGGGTTATTATCGAAGGTTTATTAAGAATTTTTTGATGATAGCTTTGTCTTTGACGCAGTTGATGAGGAAAAATGTATCATTTGCTAGGACCCTTGAATGTCAACAAAGTTTTGAAGAGTAAAAAAATTTAGACAAGCTCTAGTGTTGGTCCAACTCGAGTCTGGTAAGAACTATGTTGTTTACAGTGACACGTCCTATAACAGCTTCGGATGTGTTCTAATGTAACAGGAAAAAGTGGTAGCATATGGATCTATACAATTGAAACCACATGAGAAGAACTATCCAACGCAAGATTTGGAATTGGTTGTAGTAGTTTTCGCTCTCAAGATTGGTGTCACTACTTATATGGGGAGCGTTGCTATCTCTATACGGATCATAAGAGCTTAAAGTATCTGATGACTCAAAAAGAACTAAACTTAAGGCAAAGAAGATGGGTTGAGTTCCTAAAGGATTATGATGTAGTAATTGATTTCTATCTTGGAAAAGCAAATGTGGTGGCGGATGCCTTAAGTCGAAAAACGTTTGCAGCCCTACGAGCTTTAGATGTAAGGTTGTTATTAAATGGAGAGAACGGTCTGTGTGCAGAATTAAAGCTTAAGCCAACATGGTTGGATTAGATTAAGGAATTGCAAAACAAAGATAAAAAGTGTTTAAAGAGACTGAAACAAGTAAAAAATGAAGGAATTAAAGATTTTGAGATTACGTCTGATAGAAATCTGTATAATTGAGGGAGTGTAGTGATTCTAGATGATGAAGAATTGAAAAATGATATGTTGACAGAAGATCATTGTAGTCCATTGATGATACACCCGGGTGGAAACACGATGTATATGTATCTCAAGAGTCGACACTAGTGGCCGGGAAAAAATAAGTATCACTGAATTTGTGTCTAAATGTTTAACATGTCAACAAGTCAAAGCAATGGAAGTGAGAGAATGTCTCGATGAATTTTGTTATGGGGTTACCTCATACTCCGAATAAAAGAGATTTTATTTGGATAATAGTTGATCGTTTGACCAAGTCAGCACATTTCCTTCGTGTCAGAACTGATTTCTCTATGGAAAAGTATGTTGAGTTGTACATTAGGGAAATTATTAGATTGCATGGAGTGCATGTTTCAATAGTTTATGCCTGAGTTCCTCGATTCACCTTGAGATTTTAGAAATCTTTGCATGGAGTGTTGGGAACTCGACTGAACTTTTGTACAACTTTTCACCCTCATATAGACAGACAATCCGAGAGGACTACTCAAATATTGGAAGATATTTTGATAGCATGTATAATTGAGTTCAAAGGGTCATGGGAGAAGTATATACCACTTGTTGAATTTACTTGCATCAATAGTTATTAGTCAAGCATTAAGATGGCACCCTATGAGGCTTTATATGGGAGGAAATGTCGTACGCCACTAAACTGGTATGAGCTTAAAGATCGAACTGTTCTTGGTCCAGATTTGATTCAAGATATGGAAGACAAATTTAGGAAATTCAGCATAATCTCAAAGTGGCATTCGACCGATAGAAATCATATTCTGATCTTAAGATGAAAGAAATTGAATTTGAAGTTAGAGATAAAGTTTTTCTGAAGGTCTCTCCCTGGAAGAAGCTATTAAGATTTGAACGGAAAGGAAAGTTGAGTCCTAGGTTTATTGGGACATATGAGATTGTGAAGAGAGTAGGACCAGTGGCATATCAACTAGCCTTGCCAACCAAAATAGAAAAGATTCATAATGTTTTCCATGTTTCCATGCTTCGGATGTATAGTTCTGATCTATTCCATATTGTTGCACCGAAAGAGATAAAAGTTTAGACTGATTTGACTTATATAGAGGAACCATTACAAATATTGGCATATGAAGTCAAGCAGTTGAGAAATAAAATAGTTCCATTGGTCAAGGTTTTATAGAGGAATCACAAAGTGGAAGAAACAACGTAGGAACGTGAAGAGGATATGCGTAATCAATACCCCCATCTCTTTATAGAATAAAAATTCAAGGAAGAATTTTCGTAAGGGGGAGATTTGTAACATCCCAAACACCGGGTTAGTGACCTAATTGTAAAATTTTAAGATTTAGTGACCAAATTAGATAAATTGAAAAGTCAGTGACTTATCTGGAAAATTAGTTGTGTAGGATGAAATATCAAAGAAAGGAAATATGGAAGGGAAAAAAGGTCTTTTAGCAAGGTAAATGAATTAAAAATTCAATTTGGTGTTTTTATAACACATAGAAAAGGATTTTTAAGGGAAACATATCCAGAGACTTCCCTTGTTCTTCATCCTTCATTTCTTCTTCTTCCCCGTGAGCTACTTAGTTAAGGTAAGAAATCCTTTAGTTGACTAATTCTTGTAAATTAGATATGATTTTGATTCTTGATGAGTTAGGAAAACTTAATGAAGGTTTAAAGTATTCTAAAACTCAAAGGATAGTAAGTTATGGATGATTGAATATAAGAGGTTTATAAGTGAAATTGTGAATAAGAGAAAATAAATGGATTTGGAAGTTAGAATTGACTTGTGATCGTTAGAATAAGGAGTACAAAGTGTTAAAAATGAAATTTAAACATGTTGAAAATTCAATATGATTATTGGTTTCCAAAGTTAGGGTGAGATATTGATGATGTTGATGAGTTATTATGAAATATGATGGGTTATGGATGCATAGATGAGGTTTTAGGTGAAAAGGAAGAGAAAAATAAAGAACTCAGTAAGTTATTGGTATATTTTTGGGATGCAGAAGTGTAATATGGGTTTGTAGTATCGGTACTGGCTGAACAGTACATATACTACTCAGCATTTAGAGGTGATATTTTTGTATTGGTGTCGATATTGGATGAATAATATCAATAACATCGAGCAAACAAGGATAAAATCTTCATAAGGTATCGATATTGAAGTGGTAGTATCGGTACCATGGGTATCGATACCAATTTAAAGGTATCGATATCAATTTTAGAATGAAAATCCAGAATCTAGAATAGGTATTGGTACTGAAGTAGAGTATCGATACCACTATAAGAGAAGTATCGGTAATGTACCTTGAGTACCAATATTAGTCCAATGGAAATAAAGAATCAAGTGTCTTTTTTAGATTCAGCCTTGATGATTGGTTAGTAATGATTCAAATTATGATATTTATAAGTATTTTATATTCATGTAGATTTCAAGCGAAAGCAAAGTCCAGATAAGTCAACAAAGTAAGAGTTACCTACAGTGGTAGATAAAAGATTGGTGTTGACTAGTGAGGCAAAGGTGAGTGCATTCTATGAGATATATGTGATCCTTTGGGATTTATGTTTTGTCCTTTGGAACATATATGTGGTCCTATGAGGCAATTCTATGTGGTCCTTCAGGACATATATGTGGTCCTTTAAGACATTTTATGTGGCACTTTGGTGCATATTCTACGTGGCACTTCGGTGTATTTTATATGAGTTGTGGTGACAACTTTTGTGTACAATCTCAATGCACTCACATATCTTTAGTTCTCTGTAATGTACATGGGCTATTAAAATATTTAACATGAATTAATATTTCATGATGAATTAAATTTTTATTGTTATATGTTTAATCATATATGTTCTTATGATAGGAAATATAAATATCTTTGTAAAGTAATAAAAGTATGTAATTTGCATGTTCATTTTTATTATATATATATGCCTCACTAAGTCGATGACTTAGAGTGTGAGTGTTTAACACGTA